GAGTTGGAGGTTGCTGTGAGCTGTAATGCCATGGCACTCTGCCCAGGGGGACAGCTTGAGGCTCTGTCTCAAAAAAAACAAAACAAAACAAAACAAAACTAGAACCAGGACTTAGAAAGTGATTATGACCCATGGCAGGCACAGTAGACTCACATAGTATATGGGGATCAGCTTTTGAACTCAGCGAATGAATACAAATCTCATATAGTATCCAATGTACACACGCCTATTATGAAATTAATTTATACCTTTTATATGAAAGCTATAACCTAATAACAGCCTAAAAATATGGGGAGGAGGGAGGGAGAGGGGAGGAAGGAATGGGTGGAGGGAGGGGGATTGGAGGGATCACTTCTGTGGTTTATCTTACAAGGGTACAAGTGAATCTTTCTAAAAGTAGAATATGAACGTTTTAACAAAATAACTAAGAAAATGACATGAAGGCTATGTTAACCAGTTTAATGGAAGTGTTTCGGATTGTGTGTGAAAACACCACACTGTACACCCAGAAGTGCATTTATGTACATAGTTACCATTCAATAAAAAAAAAAAGAAAAAAAAATCTCATGCAGTCAAAATTATCTTTGAAGAATTCCTTGAATTATTAAAAACATCAATATATTCAAGTCCCACATTGGACATTTATCCTGATGTCCTAAATCCAATATAGAATTGTATTTAAGTTGAGACCTAAGGAAAGTTGTTAGATTATATTGATGAGCCATATTGTATATTTTAAAAATACCTACGTTTAAAGAGTAGAGTGGCCATGAGAACTGAGACCAATTTAGGGAATAAGAGAATTTATATCTTCTATTTCATGTACCCTTCTGAGCATACCTGCCATCTCATTCAGTGAAATACAGGAAGCATCTCCTATACACTTCTACATATTTTTCCATTTTCATTTCCTTACTTGTGTAGTTGAATTTGCATACAGTGAAGGAGCTTGTAGTACTCTCCTCAAAACTCTTCCTGGCTCGGCGCCTGTGGCTCAAGCGGCTAAGGCGCCAGCCACATACACCTAAGGTGGCAGGTTCGAATCCCAGCCCGGGCCTGCCAAACAACAATGATGGCTGCAACCAAAAAATGGCCAGGTGTTGTGGCGGGCGCCTGTAGTCCCAGCCACTTGGGAGGCTGAGGCAGGAGACTCGCTTGAGCCCAGGAGTTGGAGGTTGCTGTGAGCGTGATGCCATGGCACTCTACCCAGGGGGATAGCTTGAGGCTCCGTCTCAAAAAAAAAAAAAACTCTTCCTGTATGTGTGTTTCTAACTTTTTTCTTCTGGGGCTGACTTGGTCTGTCCTGCTCACTTCGTTCTCTCTCTGTAGACAGCTTTGATGAGCACCTGGTCACACCACATCCCTTTGAAAAATGGTAGCCTCAGTTTCCCAATTCATATGAACAATGTGAATTCTAGTTTCCATGAGAGAAAATCTATTGTCCAAGCATGGATTAGGTGCCCAGGGATCCACCTCACTGTAGCCTGGATCTGCTTCATGGCATTAGGTCACATAGCACAAGTATGATTCCAGGGTCCCGCCTGTGTGCAAAGGGGGTTTAGAAAATGTTCTCTAAATTCTTAGAGAAAACAATTACTGTAAGATGAAAAGACACCCTAAAAGGTATCAATTATGGGAGCAAAACAAGCAGTCTTGAAAATGTTTGCCATAACACTTCTCAACTACCTACTTTGTGCCAGGCAGTGTTCTAGGTCAGGAATCAGCAACTCTTTTCTATAAAGTACCTCATAGTAAATATCTTAGGTTTTTCTAGACCCATATGGTTCCTGTTGGATAATCCTTTAAAAATAGAAAAACCATTCTTAGCTCATGGACTACACAAAAATAAGCAGCAGGCTGGATTTGGCCTGCAGTTATTGTGCTATTTTCTACGTCCTGGGAATATAGCAGTGAATAAAACCAAGAAAAACATCTGCCCTCTTAGAGCTTAACACTTTAATAAGGGAAAGAAATATAATAAACAGGATCAATAAGTAAATTAGATAGTACAGTCAAAGATGTAAGCTTTATAAAGAAAAATAAAGCCAGTAGTCAGTAGGAAGATCAGAGAAGGTTACATCCGAGCAGAGACTTGCTGGAGCTGAGGAAGCAATAGAGGCATGACCATTCCAGGCAGACAGAACAGCCCAGGCCCTGAGCCAAGGACATGCTTAGGATGTGGGAGAGATGCCAGGGCGCCAGTATGGCTGGAGAGAAATAAGTAAGAGGGAAAAATAGTGGGAGATGAGGTCAGAGAGATAATGGGAGTCTGGATGAGTAAGGAACTTGGAGGCCATAGCAAGGACTTTGGCTTTTCCTCCAAGTATGATGAAAAGTTGCTGGGGGTTTTCAGCAGAGAGGTGACAGTCTGATTTATGGGTCTAAAATGATGGATCTTTCTGGCTGCAGGGCTGATGTTACAATGGAGAGGGGGCAAGGGTGGAACCATTGAGGCCAGGGAGGAGGCTACTGAAAAATCTAGATGGGAGGCAGTGGTAGTTTAAGCCAGGGTGGAAATCCAGGAACAAGATGTGTGATAGCCTCACATCCATGTGGATGGAGAAACATTTTGCATCCAAGATAGAACCAGAAGTCTTTTTTTTTTTTTTTTGAGACAGAGCCTCAAGCTGTCCCCCTGGGTAGAGTGCTGTGGCATAGCTCACAGCAACCTCCAACTCCTGGGCTCAAGTGAGTCTTCTGCCTCTGCCTCCCAAGTAGCTGGGACCACAGGCACCCGCCACAACGCTTGGCTATTTTTTTTGGTTGCAGCCATCATTGTTGTTTGGCGGGCCTGGGCTGGATTTGAACCCGCCACCTTAGGTGTATGTGGCTGGCGCCTTAGCCACTTGAGCCACAACCAAGAGTCTTAACATCAGGCAATTATGGCTCAGATGGTTTCCATAGAGCTGCTATTCCAGCAAGAACCATGGCCAACCCAGCTTTCTCCAAAGGCAGCTGCAGCCTGTCTGGTATTCACTTCTTCCTTCTTTCATTTCACCTACACTGAGCACCTACTCTGTGCCAGGAGCCAAAGATCAGCAGCAAATCAAACATGGTCTTTTCCTCATGGTATATGGGGGAAATTAACACAGGAACAAGGCACTATAATTCACTAGGTTAAATGCTGTAGTAGAGATCTCTAGGCAGCCTGGGAATAGTAGAGAAGGTAAAAGAGGTGCTGTGTGAGTTTGCTCTGGAAAAGTGATTTCCTAAATGGCTGTGGAACCCTTTATTCTCATTAAAATCTTACCTAGATCAACATCTCTAACTGGTTAAAGGGTGTTCCCATGTGGTTGCAAAGGAAGGTGGGAATACAAGAGTCACCCATCACACAACCTCTTCCTCTTGGCCTGTGGGCTCTGAGATACTCTCCAGGTTGTCTAGAGGGTACTGGTCCAGAAGGAGAGGAATGATAGCAAAAACAAGGTGGGGGGTTAAGAGGAGACTACCAGAGACTTAGAATACCTGCTTGGGAGATACAAGGAAGGCTTTTGCTTAATTAGCAGGGCAGTGACTTACCCATTAGTAGGCGGTTGGGGAGACCTCAGGCTCTGGTTTGGGAAGAGACTCTCACATCTGCCTTTTCTGGGCACAGGACAGAGGTGTTTCGGCAAGATCAGGGGGCCCGACCAGATGCCACCAAAGTGCTCATCATCATCACTGATGGGGAGGCCAGTGACGATGGCGACATTGGCATGGCCAAAGACATCATCCGCTACATCATTGGGGTATGGCCCCAGGCCCCTGCTGCTTCTATGTCTTATCTTCCCTCTGTTATTCCCAAAGCCCAGTCCCCTTCTGTGGGGCAGAACCTTGTGAAGATAATAGAAAACTGATTTGAGATTTGGGGAATGCCAGCCCTTCACTCTTCATTCTCTCACAGATCGGAAATCATTTTAAAACCAAGGAAAATCAGGAGGCACTCCACAAGTTTGCCTCAAACCCCATAGAGGAATTTGTGAAGATTCTGGACACATTTGAGAAGCTTAAAGACCTATTCAGTGATCTACAGAAGAAGATCTATGTGATTGAAGGTGAGTGACAAACCCTGGGAGCGAGTTCAGGAGGCTGCCGCATACAAAATTTCCCCTTTAGAATTCACACAGAAATTCTAAATTCATCAGATTAGAGACACACTGAGTAATAATAACAAGCATTAACAAGTGTCTGACGCCATGCTAAGAGCTCACCTAAACAAAAACTTCTAGTAGGAATTTGGGAGAGGGTAATTTAGGAGCAGCCGTTGCTATTTCTCTCTGAAATAACATCTTCCTCTTGGAGCTAAGCATGATTCATGGCGGGGCCCAGAATTGACCTGTATCTTCCTGGTGTCATCTGAGCCCTGCACATTAACTGTAATTCCTTTCTCTTCTGGTTTGACTCTCATTTTCACTTCTCTCAGTCTCCATATTACTTAGGATGGGCAAGCTGGCTGGAGCCACAGGCCTTCCTTGGCTTAGAATAAGAGGAAGTTTTTATTGTAGTCGCCAGAGGACTGGTTATGGGAGGATATTTCCCCAAGGAAGTTTAGTCTGTGAAAAGTTATATGGGCTGGGCACCCATAGCTCAGTGGTTAGGGTGCTGGCCATGTGCACTGGGGCTGGTGGGTTCAAACCCAGCCTGGGCCTGCTAAACAACAATGACAACAACAAAACAAATAGCTGGACGTTATGGCAGGTGCCTGTAGTCCCAGCTACTAGGGAGGCTGAGGCAAGAGAATCAATTGAGCCCAAGAGTTTGAGGTTGGTGTGAGCTATGATGCTACAGCACTCTATAGAGGGTGACAAAGTGAGACTCTATCTCAATTTAAAAAGTTATGTGATATCCACAGGGAAGTCCCCTTTGCTAGGACACAGCCTTGGTGTCCAGTTCAAGTGAAGAAGTAATGTGTCACATGAACCAAGTTGACTTGCTGCCAAGAATCCACTCTGCCTCTTTCTTACTGTGTGACCTCAGCCAGGTCACTTTCCTCTCTGAGGTTCATTGTTCTACATTAAATGTGAAAATAACACCAGGCTAACAGGATGTAAGTTTTAACTAAGTTTGCTGTAACAAAATACTACTAACTAGGTGACTTAAAATAACAGAAATTTGGTGGCATCCATAGCTCAGTGGGTAGGGTGTCACCCACATACACTGAGGCTGGTGGGTTCAAGCCCAGCCTGGGCCTGCCAAACAACAATGACAAGTGCAACCAAAAATAGTCAGGCATTGTGGCTGGCGCCTGTAGTCCCAGCTACTCTGGAGGCTGAAGCAAGAGAATCGCTTAAGCCCAAGAGTTTGAGGTTGCTGTGAGCTGTGATGTCATAGCAGTCTACTGAGGGTGACAGAGTGAAACTGTCTCAAAGAAAAAACAAAAAAAACCTCCAGAAATTTATTGTCTCAATGTCTGAAGGCCAGAAGTCTTTAGATGTCACTGTCTCTGTATATATAACCCAAATCTAGGCTGGGTGCTCTGTCACCTCTGTGTGCTTCCTATCACAGGCCCATGGCATGCATCATATCCTTTTTTTTTCTTTTCTTTCTTTCTTTCTTTCTTTTTTTTTTTTTTTGAGACAAAGTTGGTAGAGTGCTATGCTCACAGCAACCTCAAACTCTTGGGCTCAAGTGATTCTCTTGTCTCAGCGTCCCAAATAGCTGGGACTACAGGTACCCACCACAATGCCTGGCTAATTTTTGTTGCAGTTGTCATTGTTGTTTAACTGGCCTGGGCTGGGTTTGAACCCGCCAGCCTCAGTGTATGTAGCTGGCACTGTAACCACTATGCTACAGGCGCCAAGCCATGCTTCATATTCTGACTTACTTGTTCCGTATCTGTCTCCTACGCTAAACCCTGAGGTCTTCCCTGGCAAGACTTTCATCCCCTTCCCACCATTGTAGTCCTGCCACCAGATACTTAGATACTTAATTATTCTATATATTTATTCAGTGATTGAACAAATCATTGTAACAATTGCTATGTTTCCTGAAAATGGACATGGCATTTTGTTTTATCTCATTCATTTCTGTCAGCATCCTTGTTAGCTGGTGCTATTACATTCATTGTACTATGAATAAGACACTCAGAGATGCTGTGAAAGTAGAGCTCATCTTCATACTGAAGCAAGGCTGTAATCGAGTAGACAAACGTGGTAATTAAAGACAACCAAATACACTCTGACATGACTTGTGAGCTGAGACATGAAATCTGAGAATCAAACAGCCACAGGAGCAGTGTGGAATGTGGGCCAAGAGCATTCCAGTCAGAGAGAAGCACAAGTGCGGAGGCCCAGTGGACCAGGGGAAGGGCTTGACATGTTGCGGGCACAGAGTGTGGAGAGGGAAGAGAAAGAACCTGGTGGAGGTAGGGACTTTGTAGGCCCTCAGAAGGAATTCGGATTTTAGTGGGAAGAGCAGGCTTTTTAAGAAAGGGAAAGCTGCTCGGGGGTCATGATGGGCAGCAAAATGGCGTCTGTCGGCAGGGTGGTCCAGGTAGTCAAGCCACACACTCCATTAATATGATTTCCTGATAGAAGAGACAATCCTAAACCCAATGTATCAGAAGCTTTGAGATCAGCAGGACTACCGTCTTACTCTTCTGCGATTTCCCAGTATTCGAAGGGAACTAAATCACCAGATTTGCTGATATATCAGGGTCCACTAGACACTGCAGAAATAATAAAAATGTTACCTCAGAAATACAGAAGGAAACTTGTATCTCAAGAAGAAATTGAATATATCCAACCTGGAGGTCCAGAGTAATCACTATGGCTGCTGTTTGTCATCAGACAAAAGAATTACTTTTACAATAAATGACTTCCAGAATGAAGAAGGAGAAATTGTATATTGAACAACTTTAATAAATATTGTGTAAAAAATGATATAGAAAATTTAGATGGACACTTGTATCTCCTAATTTATGTATTTTGGTCAGCTTCTCCATAAGCTTACCTAAATGTTTATATACTTTATACTTATTAAAGTATACATTTGTAAAAAAAAAAAAAAAAGAGGGAAAGCTGATTCAGGGCCCATGGCTCAGCTGTTAGGGTGCCGGCCACAAGCACCAGGCTGGTGTGTTTGAACCTGACCTGGGTCTGCTAAACAACAATGACAAGAACAACAACAACAAAAATAACCAGGTGCTGTGGCAGGTGCCTGTAGTACCAGCTACTTGGGAGGCTGAGGCAAGAGAATCACTTAAACCCAAGAGTTTGAAGTTGCTGTTAGATATGATGCCATGGCACTCTACCGAGGGCAATACAGTGAGACGCTGTCTCAAAAAAAAAGAAGGGCAGCGCCTGTGGCTCAAGGAGTAGGGCACTGGCCCCCTATATGGGGAGGGGGGGCAGGTTTAAGCCCAGCCCTGGCAAAAAAAAACTGCAAAAAAAAAAAGAAAGGGAAAGCTCTGGTCTGATACTCATTTTTATTTATTTATTTGAGACAGAGACTTGCTTTGTCACCCTTGGTAGAGTGCCCTGGCATCACAGCTCACAGCAACCTGAAACTCTTAGGCTCAAGTGATTCTCTTGCCTCAGCCTCCTGAGTAGCTGTGTCTACAGGTACCCACCACAATGCCTGGCTATATTTTAGAGACAGGGTCTCGCTCTTGCTTAAAAAAGACTTGCTCGGTGGAAACAAAACATGGAAAAAATGGAGTCAGAGACCACGTTAGTGAGATTTTATACTGGTTAAACCGGAAATGAGATGGCTTTACCTTTGTGGTAGAGGTATAAGTTATTCAGGGACTGAAACAAGTATATTTTGAAGGTAGGCTCATGATAATTTGGTGATGTATTTGAGACAGGATGGATTCTGGTTTTTTAACATAGTTTATTAGGTGGGTGGAGCGCCATTCACTGAAGTGGGGAGGCCTTGGTAGGAGCAGAAACCAAGAACTACATGTTGGGCCTGCCCTGTGGAGTGAGTGGAGATCTGAGGCCTAGGCTCCTTGAGTTTCACATGAGAAAGCCCACTCAGAGCCTTAAGCCCCTGGCCAGTCTGTCTGGCTTTGAAGTAAGAGCTTTCTGCTTCACCCAGTGATAGTTCTTACTCCTTCCAGGAAAATCACTGTTTTTACTGCTTCTTGGGTCTTGCCCATTCTCTTCTACTTTGTCTCCTAGGCACAAGCAAACAGGACCTGACCTCCTTTGACATGGAGCTGTCCTCCAGTGGGATCAGTGCTGACCTTAGCAAGGTGTGTGGCGGGCCTGAAGCAATGGGTGCTATGGGGACACAAGTGGGTCCGAGAGGGCAGCTGACTCCACTTCTCTCCTTCCCTGGGCAGAGCCGTGCAGTTGTGGGGGCAGTTGGAGCCAAGGACTGGGCTGGGGGATTCCTAGACCTGAAGACAGACCTACAGGGTGAAATATTTGTTGGCAACAAGCCACTGACACCAGAAGTGAGATCGGGATATTTGGGTGAGTACTTCTCTTTTCTGCAAAGTTCTTCTGGTTTTAGAGGCCAGAGGGTCCCTCAGTCTGACTTTTAAAATAATAGTGAAAGCAATGAAGCAACCAGCATGAACAAACTCAGAATTCAAACCTGGTTATAACATATTTAATTTTCCCTTAATAGTCCCCCACTGTGTATTAATGATTTTTTTTTTTTAATTTTCTATATTTTCTGATGCTTGGACATCTTGGCACCTTGCTGATCCTGGAGAGATGGCCCCTCCCAGGGCTAGCTAATTGCTAGAAATAGTGAACAACTTGCCTGTATACATACCTTTTATATGCAAACCAGCCAATGCAGAGCCTATATCTCCAACTACCTCCTTCATCTTCTTTTATACACCAAGCTATTATTTCTTCATCCTTAAATCAGCCCAGAATCAGGTATCAGACAACTAGAAACAGCCACTATAGCCCAGAACCTGTTAAAATTATTCAAACTATGTAATTGTAAACCTGCTCAAACTTGCCTACCCTAGTTCACCATCCTTCCCACAGAAACCACAATAAGAGCTCTAGACCGTAGTCTTCTCTTGCTCCTTTTGCCTCTCACTGATCTGGTGTTTCCTCAGTGCTTCCCCATTTGGCCCTGCATGGCATACAGTGATTCCTTCTGGGAGCTGTGAGTAATAAAGTTCTTTCAATGACAGTGACCTCTCTGTGTTGTCAGTCATACCTATAAATTAAATCCCATGTACATTTTAAAACAATCTGCCTATTAGTAGGAAGGCTAGTCACTCTTTCTTTCTTTTTTTAGATTTAAACTTTTATTTATTTATTTGCCATTTTTGGCAGGGGCTGGGTTTGAAACTGCCACCTCCAGTATATGGGACCAGCGCCCTACCCTTTTGAGCCACAGGCGCCACCCTAGTCACTTTTTCTTAAGGTTTCCTTTCCTTGAATTGTCCAAGAACTTCAGGGGTTTTTTTTGTTTTGTTTTGTTTTGTTTTGAGACGGAGCCTCAAGCTATCCCCCTGGGTAGAGTGCCATGGCATCACGCTCACAGCAACCTCCAACTCCTGGGCTCAAGCGAGTCTCCTGCCTCAGCCTCCCAAGTAGCTGGGACTACAGGAGCCCACCACAGCGCCCGGCCATTTTTTGGTTGCAGCCATCATTGTTGTTTGGCGGGCTGAGCTGGGGATTCGAACCCGCCACCTTAGGTGTATGTGGCTGGCGCCTTAGCCACTTGAGCCACAGGCGCCGAGCCAGAACTTCAGGGTTTTATTCAGTTACAAGATTTCTTGTGATGCCAAGTATAGAAGAAATGAATCTGGTCCATTCACAACTGCTGTTGTTTCTCTCTGCCTCATGGTGTCGCTGTTGAAGTCTCTTCCTGCACAGTTCTGTGGATGTTTGTCCACCCAAGGTGATGCCAGGCTCAGGCTACATTGGGGCCTCACCCCTGTGTGCTCTGAAGTTATAGCTCTTTTAGTTCACATTTATATAGTCAGTCTGCCCCAAAGTATGAGCTGGCTTCTCTTGGGTCTAAAACCACCATCCTTCTACCTTGCCTCATCCATGACCACTGTATAGGAGTGGGCCACTCTTTTATTAGATTCTCAGAACACAAAATGTTCTTATTAATTTTTCCTCAGTAAAATCAGTTCTATTCATTTCGCATCTGCTCTTTTAAGGGAGGCTACCATCAATAATTTTCTTCTTTCTTTTTTTCTGTTTTCCTTCTTTTTCTTAATTTTTTTATTTTTTTTATTTTTTTGAGACAGAGTCCGGCTCTGTTGTCCCAGCTAGAGTGCTGTGCTATCAGCCTAGCTCACAGCAACCTCAAGGGTTGCTGGGTTTAAGCAATCCTCCTATCTCAGCCTCCTAAGTAGCTCTGACTAGAGGCATGTACTACCATGACTGGCTAATTTATTAATTTTTTAAATAATAGTTTAAATGACTTGACCAGGCTCACAGAACTAGTAGTGGAGCCCAGGTAGTCTATCCCCAAAGTCTTTTCTGTAAACCACTACATTTATACATACCACCAGTGTATGCTGAAGGCACCAGTGTATGTTGAATGCATCTTTGTTAATAACCTGGTTTCCCAAGGCTTCTGCCCCTTTCCCTATGGATGTTACCTTTTCTTCCACCATCTTTTTTCTTTGTGCAATTTGACTGGGCTGGGTTTGAGTCCACCACCCTCAGTATACAGGGCCGGCACCCTACCCACTGAGCCACAGGCACCGCCCTCCTTTTTTTTTTTTTCTTTTTTTAGAGAGACAGTGTCTCACTCTGTTAGACACCCAGGTTAGAGTGTCTGCCATGCGTCAGCATACCTCACAGCAGCCTCAAACTCTTGGGTTCAAGTTATCCTCTTGCCTCAGTCTCCTGATAACCTGGGTCTACAGGTGCTCACCACAATGTCCAGCTAATTTTTCTACTTTTAGCAGACATAGGGTCTCACTTTGCTTAGGCTGGTCTTGAACTCCCGAGCTCAAGGGATTCTCCCATCTCAGCCTCCCAGAGTGTTAGGATTATAGGTGTGGGCCACCATGCCTGGCCCTTCCAGCATCCTGTGTGTTCCTGACTCCAATCCCCTCCTTCTGTCTCCTCAGGTTACACAGTGGCCTGGCTGCCCTCGCAAGGGAAAACATCACTGCTGGCAGTGGGAGCACCCCGATACCAACATGTGGGCCGAGTACTGCTGTTCCAAGAGCCAAAGAACAGAGGAGAGTGGAGCCAGGTCCAGAAAATAGAAGGAACTCAGGTACTCATGGCCCAAGGGGCATCTGCAGACCAGGGGCTGTTGTGACATGCACCATGCTCCCCGCTATCCTTTGAGTACTCATTCACTAACTGTGTGGCAAGTCCTAGGCCAAACACTACCACATTTGTCCCTCATGGCACCCTTTGAGGTAAGCCTTGACATCTATACACTCCAATTTAAGAAATTGAGCCTCAAAGAGCCCACTTTATCTTAATTCATATGGCTCTAAGGGTGGACTTAGGGTTTGAATCTTTACTTGAGGGAGTGAAATAAGATGGACATGATACAGCTGAAGGGGTGCCTGCCAGCCCCTGTGTCCCCACAGGCTCTTCCTCAGATACCTCTCTCTCCCTGCAGGTTGGCTCTTACTTTGGTGGGGAGCTGTGTGGTGTTGACATGGATCAGAATGGGGAAATGGAGCTGCTGCTGGTGGGAGCCCCGCTATTCTATGGGGATCAGAGGGGAGGCCGGGTGCTCATCTACCAGAGACGACAGGTAGGTGCCAGGATGTGGAGTTGAGGGGTAGGAGAAGAGGAGAGATAGAGACTCACAGGCCTATGTAGATCCCAATTTTCTGAAGGGCTTTCCCTATCTGATCATGGGTTACTCAAACCATTAGAACAAAAAACATACAATAGTGACTCTTCATTGGGGAAGGCTGTGTGCAGGGCCCCTGCCAGACTCTTTATGGATATAACTTCGTTTGATCCTCACAACCACTTTCTGAGCTTCTACAAGCTGTCCTTTATAAATGGGAACACAGAGACTCCACAAAGCTAGGTAATTTCCCGAAGCCACAGGGGCACATGAACAGGAGGTGGAGCTGGCAGCATTTCAAGTCTCTGAGGAACCGCTTTTTACGTTTCTTTTTTTCTTTTTTAAAAGACAGAGTCTCAGGTGGTGCCTGTGGCTCAGTGAGTAGGGCGCTGGCCACATATACTGAGGGTGGCGGGTTCCAACCCGGCCCAGGCCAAAATGCAACAAAAAAATAGCTGGCTGTGAAACCAGTTTACAATCACTCACACTTGCATATGAAAAATGAAACACAACTATAGCCTAGGATGAAGGAGGGAAAGGAAGGGAAAGGGGAAGGGAGGGGGCTGGGACGATAGTGAGAGGGTTAGTAGGGGGGCCACACCTATGGAGCATATGGCAAGTACAAGTCGAATCTATCAGGTGTAGAACACGAATGTCTTAACACTGTAATTGGGTAAATGAGGTGAAGGTTATGTTGATTAGCAGGATGTAAGCACTCCAATTTGTACAAATAATTAACACATTGAATCCCATAATGGCATAAATGTATTTATGATCTATGTACAAATGACTTAATAAAAAAATAAAATAGCCAGGCATTGTGGTGGGCACCTATAGTCCCAGCTACTCGGGAAGCTGAGGCAAGAGAATTGCCTAAGTCCAAGAGCTGGAGGTTGCTGTAGGTTTCTGTGAGCTGTGACATCACGACACTCTACCGAAGGCGACAAAGTGAGACTCTGTCTCTTAAAAAAAAAAAAAAAAGACAGAGTCTCACTGTGTCACCCAGGCTTGAGTGCAATGGCACAATCATAGCTCACAGTAACTTTAAACTCCTAGGTTCTAGTGATCCTCACACATCAGCCTTCCAAGTAGTAGGGAGTTTAGGCTAGCACCACACCTGACTAATTTTTTTTAATTTTCTTTTTTTTTGAAATAGAGTCTTACTTTGTCACCCACAGTAGAATGCCACAGCATCATAGCTCACAGCAACCTCAAACTCGTGGGTTCGAGTGATCATTTTGCCTCAGCCTTCCAAGTAGCTGGGACTACAGGTGCCCACCAAAACACCCAGCCATTTTTGAGAAACCAGGTCTGCCTCTTGCTCAGGCTGATCTCAAACTCCTGAGCTCAGGCAACCTACCTTGGCCTCCCTTAGTGCTGTGATTATAGGCGTGAACCATCATGCCCAGCTTCATTTTTTTAATTTTTATTTTTTTGTGGAGATGGGGTTCTTTTGTGTTGCCCAGGCTGGTCTCACATTCCTGGGCTCAAGCGTTCCTCCTGCCTCAGCCTCCCAAAGTGCTAGGATTCTGGACATGAGCCACTGTGCCTGGTCTATCTCACGTTTCTTTAGTGTTCTTCATGAAATTGTCCTTCACAATACCACATGCTGTGAAAGCTTACTGAATGATTGAGGTGTGACTTGTCTCCTTGCTCCTTCCTAGCTGGGATTTGAAGAGGTCTCAGAACTGCATGGGGATCATGGCTATCCCCTGGGGAGGTTTGGAGCGGCCATCGCTGCCCTGACAGACATCAACGGGGATAGGCTGATGGATGTGGCTGTGGGAGCCCCCCTGGAGGAGCAGGGGGCTGTGTACATCTTCAATGGGCTACAGGATGGGCTCAGCCCCCGGCCGAGTCAGGTGAGGTGCCCTGCCTGCCAAGCCAACCCCAGCGCCAGGTCCTGAAGCCTCTGCCCCCAGGTCCCTCTCCCATGCCAGCCCCTTCCCACCCTCCAGCCTGTCCCTCCCAGCTCAGCATGATCCCTCTCTTACTCTCAGCGGATAGAAGGGACCCGGCTGTTCCCAGGAATTCGATGGTTTGGACGCTCCATCCACGGGATGAAGGACCTTGAAGGGGATGGCCTGGCAGATGTGGTTGTGGGGGCTGAGGGCCGGGTAGTCGTGCTGAGGTAAGACAGGACCCCTGAGTCCCCCCAAATAAACTCAGTTCTTATCCTGTGAGTAGTTGTGGTGTGCTGGGTACCATGTGAAAGCTTCATAGTGAGACAGGTCCTCTTTTTAGAGGTTCATATCATACTCAGTGACAGAAGTGGGATATGAACCCAGGCCTGTCTGACACTGAAATCTTATGGAGACACAACCTCATGTGATAAGTAAAGGCCTGGCTCTAGAACATGGTGACCTGGATTTAAGTCAAAGCTCGGCCATTTGCTTCTGAGGTTATCTCACCTCAGTCACTTAGTTTCTTTCTTTCTTTCTTTCTTTCTTTCTTTCTTTCTTTCTTTCTTTCTTTCTTTCTTT